CCTGCTTTGGCTTTGCTCAGGGCAAGTAATGTAGAATTAGGAGCTTTACAATATTTTTATATTTATTTCTGTTAATGGCAGGTGTTAAGCTTCTCAGCACAGTCTGCACATAGACTTTAAGCTGGAGAACAGAAAGGTCATCTTTGTACAATTTTCAGTACATAGACATGTGTAGTGCACTAAAGGGAACATTTATCAGCAGAGAAATATGGGGAATATTTATGAGAGAGCTTCTGCTTGTTCACAGAATGTATTTTAAGGTTTAATGAAGTGATATAACTATGCAGGAAACCCATGAATTTTTCTTTATTTATTTTCCTGAACATGGAGTACTTGATATTTGAAGATTGCCTTTTCCTTCCTTTTGAAATCTGAACTTTTTTCCTTGAGTTCCCCAAAGTATCTCTGAGATTATTCATCTAGAGATTTTTTTAATATGGTAATATTTAAAGATCTAAATTTATTATCAATAAGATTTAATAGTTTTAACTGTATATATAATTTTGCAGAAAACTAGTTGCAGAAGTACTGAGTCCACAGGTGTCAGATTATGCAGCCTCCTACACAGTCACTATTTTTAGGAGGAACATGGCTGTTTTCCAGCTCTCACAGGGATGGGTGGGAGACAATAGTGAGGATTAAATCAGAGACTCAGAAAGCTTGTGAATCACTTGGGTTCAGGTTTCCTCAGAAGTTTCTTTGCAGTGCTTCTACACTCACAAAGTTCAGACCAACCAATGTCAAATCAGTCTTTGATCCCAAATTTGTCACAGTTCTCGACAAGGCACATATTGTGGAAGATAAGTGGAACAAAAATGATGCTATGCTTAGGAAACTCTTGGTCACTTGCAATTTCAGGGTAGCCACACTAATGCATGGGGTGATGGAATTTGGCTCAAGCAGATAGGATTTGCTATACCCTCACTGACATGAAGATTATGGTGAGACATTGCTGATCAATGTTTTGTGTCTGCTGTTTGCTTTATTTTTCTCTTTCTTTGCCATCAGCAGCATAAAGTTGATGATGTGATTGAAGCAGCTAAAGCAATCTGCAGTGTCCTCTGTTTTGTGGAAACCAGAGACATTACTGATGCAGTCAAGAAACTCCATGAAATGCCATTGGTGAAAGTACAGGTAAAAGATATGCAAGTTGATGTCCTATTTTTCTCATTAGCATTGAACTTGAATTTTTTGATGGATCAAGTCCATTTCACTGTTCTGCCACATATTTTCCCTTTGACAAGTTTTAGGTAGAGACACTACAAAGAATGCTGACAATGTGTGACAGAGGAGAACACAAGACTTGTCCTGTGTTTAACTGTAACTGATGTTCTCCTCTGGTTCTTCTTTCTTGTTCTGCTGAGCATACAAATCTGCTTTGCCACATCACCTGTTTACCAAATCATGTGATTTCAAAGTATTAGGTTTTCATATATAGGTTGTTAACAACTATTTGAAAAAACCTATAAACAAACAAACATTTCTTTGGTAAATGTCACTTAAATGATGATTTCTTTTCAGATTGAAATGACCCCCCCTCCTATTTATGCAGAGAAGGACCAGTATCATATAGTCCTGATTTTAACTGGAATACTCTTTAAACACTAAAATCGGGTTTCCAGGGGTTTCTATATGATTTTGAACTGGGACTTGGAGGGCAGTACCTGTTCTCAGTTTTGTCATCAGATGCTTTGGTATGACCTTGGACAAGTCACTATGACCTGATTCACACAAGTTCTGAGCACCCAAAAATTCTTCTGAAGTCAGGATTTTGGAGATACAGGTGGTCAGCAAATTTGAAAATCAAGCCATTAACCACTTCTGTTTAGTCTGCTGTAATCCTAAATCCTGCCAATTCTTTCCCACCCTATTGATATTTCCTCTACACGCTTTTGTTAACAAGATTAATAAGTTGCTGAGGAATTTTATTTTTTCCTTGTATGGTCTATTGTCATTCTTTCTCACAGCAAATACTGTTTAGACCATTACCTGCTTACAAAACTTCTATTCTTTCTCTTTAGTATTTGTTGGTTTGTTTTTTTCCCAAAGCTTGGGATATATGTAAAAACACCTAGGACAGAAAAGTGAACAATGAGATAGCTAGTGTTAAATTAATTAACTAGTGAGTGTTAATTACAAACATGTCTAGCTAGGTAATTTATTTAATTATGCCTGATATGCAGTGTGTTGCTGTAATTCTTGCTATAACAAGAGTGAGATGCATATCAAGTTCATTCTGTACTGTCATCCACATCCACTTACTCTTGACAGGTTCAAACACTCAAATAGTCTTACAGGGAAAACTTCTTCCTAAGAGGTCAAAGACTCATCGAAAAGCAGAAAGTGTATTAGTAGAAAATGCTTCAGTGATGTCCAGAAAGCCTCTTTTCTTGGGTCTTTGCACTCTTAGCCTCTGTTTCTTCCTCTGAGATGGGAGGAGGGGGAGGGAATAGCTTCCAAGTTAGGGGTAAAGTACAGGACCCAAGCAGCTAATCTCTAGAACATCAGTGTAGCTCTCTGTAGGTCTGGGTTGTAAGTGAATCCCTGCATGTTTCTGGAGCAGAGGACACAGATTTCACAGAGCAGACATTGCTGCATGGCCCTGGACAGAACCATCTGTGGCCTTCTGGTGATAATTATATGGGTGCTGTCTCCCTGAGGGTTGGCAAGTATTGTGAAGGACCAAGCTGCAAGAAGAAATATAGCTCTAGGGTTTTTGTTTGTTGCTCAGGCCTCACCAGCATATTCAGTTAAGCATCTTCTCTTGCTTCCCTTTTAGGTCATGGTTCACTGTAAATCTTGTTTCTGTAGAATCCTAAATCTTTTCATGTCTACTTCAGCATCAGTTATTCCAAGTCACTATTGGGGGTAAATTCTTGCATAGGTGGGTCTGTGACAGCACATATTTTATCTGGCATAGTGTTGAATTAAATGGAAATAAGAATATCTCTACTCAAGAAAAGTTCCTTGTGTATATTAGAGGGCAAATACAGGAGAGAAAGAGATAAAATAAGTAACAAGAGATTCACATGATCTGCTTTTCAGTTAAACTCCACACTGTCCTGAGAGGCATTGGGCTGATCAGCTTTTCCTCCTTGAGAAAAGTATTTTGCCAACCCAGAATTCTCCTTAAGAGATAAGGAGCACGGCCCAGTCAAAACGCCTAGAGGACAGTAACAGAACTTTCCTTTAGAAAGGAATTAGAGTAGAGGAAATGTATTGGGACTAATTTGTTATAAGATTTTTTTCTTGAGGTAAGAAAAATGTGGTGTATTTGGTCTTTGAGTGTTCAGGTCAGTTCTATGAACCCAATGTGTAAATTGCCTCCTCTGACTGGTATATATTGACTGAGTATCCCTGAGCCCATTTTCAGCCTTATCTCCTCTGGAGTTGAGCAGAGAAAAAAATAAAATATATATATAGTGGTCAAAGAGGCAAATCAGTTCCTATTTGTGTGGCCTGTCCTGAGCAGACAGAAAACCCCACATGTCATGCCATGAAGAATAAGGTAACGGGCTAAAAAAAATAAGAGCAACAGGTTGTCTTTCTCAAGTCTGTTGGTGTTCACGTTTGCTTTTGCTTGTCTTCAGAGTCAGTGTCATGCAAATACTGGTTTTGTTTTAGAGATGAAGTGATTGTTACTAGGCAAATATTTGAGTTATGAGCTGTTATGTTCTGTTGTAAAAACAAAGAAACTAGTATGTTATGTTAAGGGGTTGGAATGGACCTTACAGATTATCTAGTCCCAACCCCCTGCCCTGGGCAGGGACACCTCCCACCAGAGCAGGTTGCTTTATCCAACTTGGCTTTGAACAGTGCCAGGGTTGAGGCATCCACATCTTTCCTGAGCAGCCTGTGCCAGTGTCTCACCACCCTCACAGGAAAAAACTTCTTCCTAATATCTAATCTAAATTTCCCCTCTGTCAATTTATCCCCATTACTCCTTATTCTATCACTGTAGTTCCTAACAAGGAACAAAAATCCCTGCTGCAAGTGTTCTCTGTTTGCCATTGCTCATTCTCCAGCATGTGTCAAATTTTCAACTCCACTATATGGACAGTCTCCAATATGTACAGGTTCTCCTGAACCAACTTCCATGTACTCCCTTGCACCAAGGGAGTAATACACTTTCTCTCTTTTACCTATTTAAATTCTAAGCCTTTCAGACAAGGATCACCTCTCCTTATCTCTGTGTACAGTCTCCAGCACAGTAGAGTGCTGGTCCTGGCTGTGATCTCCAGAGGCTGAAAATGGTAAGTGGTGGTGATGATAATGATGCTGTTTGCTCATCTGTAATGAGTAAAATGATGCTGTTCCTGAATAGCTTCTCTTGAATGTTAAAGAGATTCTGTCCACATTGAATATTTTATCACTAGTCTTAAAATATTTTTCTGTCCTAATATTCAATAAGAAGCTGCTCCATATTCCATTGAAGACTACTGACAAGATTATTACTCATTTTTTTTTGAAGTGTTTAAGTTACTGAGGCTTTGTTCGCTTTCAGGGGGAACAAAACCCTTTCCATTGCCTTTCAGGCTTGGTTAGCTGAACTGGTTGTCTGTCCCTTGCAGCCTTCCTGTAAAAGCTGTCTGTGACCTTGACTGACACCTGTCTCCCTCTGACTCCCTCCTTGCTGAGACAGACCTGACTAACAGCTCACTTCAGATAAGTGGAAAAAGAAAAGTCCAACTGTTCCTGCGCCAGCAAACACTGTTGCTGCTGCTTGGTTTCACTCCTATGAGAAATAGAACAGCTGATTAGACTTCAGCAATCTACAAAATGTTTCAGTTTGATTCTATAAAGAACTTCATCTCTCTCAGCAACTGAGCTATAAATGTACTAACAGCAGTAAAATATATTTCTGCATGGTCTGTAACTTGAACACTGTTCCATTTTAGGAAAATAGATATTACACATTATATACAACTCCCTCCTGTATAGAATAGTATATAAATGTTATCAATCATATTGGGTCTCTATTTATCAATATTTATACAAAGACAACTGCCCAGCTTTCCTGTCTGTGTCAGAATATGTAGTCAGAATTAGTACCCAGCAGCTAAATGTTGGATGGAGTACCAACTCCTCCAAACCTCTTTTTGAGTTAAACTCATACTGAATTTTAGGGTCATTTTAGGTGAATTCTGGGTACTGACAAAATTATTAAATGCTGTGACATTAGTGTGTCTTCCCAGTCTGCTAGAATTGTTTCTGTTATGTCCATCAGCATAGTACCAAAGATTTTGTTGGCTAGGAAAGAGGCTTTTTTCCGACAAGCAGGTGACTTGCACCACAAGTGCAATTTTTGAGGCTACCTGTTACATCTCAAGTGCTGCAGCATTGCACAGCAGGTAAGGGAGAAATGCCAGGGGAAGAAAATGAGTTCCAACTGCCTTTTCACCATGGTTTCCTCATGCTTTAGCACAATGTATGGTGTGGTTTTGTGTGGAATACTTTTTAATGCATTCATTTGGCACATGTGCACCTAATGCCTCGGGGAAACCATTGCTTACTACTCCCAATGCAAATGACACAGGGTTTGTGTATACATATCTGTACATGTGTGCTTGCACACTCTGAAAAAACTTTCAATGTGCTTCTAGTTAATTCTGGTTTTATGAGAGAAAAGAAAACCAAAGAGACTTAGTTCCAATCTTCTGTCTTAAATTGTACTTGTTATGTCCTTACTGCCTCCTCCATGCCAGTACTGTGTGCATTCCTGTGCTGTGGTTAAGGGATTATGAAAGCAACTGGCACCACTGATAGTTTCTTCTTAACTGATTACATCTCTTTATAAATGTGATTCATTCAGTCTCCAACCAACCTAACCCTGGGATTTTAAAATCCGTTCAGGGGAAACTCTGGGCCTGATGCACAATTAATGTTTTTCATCTCTTTTTTTCCCCCTTCCTTTCTTACAGCAGCTCACAGAAAGTCCTAAGAGATCAAATCCTGCCAGAACAGGCACTAATCCACTATATATTAAACAAGCTACACTATGTTGAAATTATAAGTGCCGTGCCAAAAGGTGGTTTACTTTCCAGAATTTGAGAGAATTGAACAAAGGTCTCTGTTCCCATTTGTCTCACTGCATTAGAAAGATTGTAAAAACATGCTTCTCAGCTTAGATGTTGCTTTTCTCCCCTCAAGTAAGCATTTGACTTCTCTTCATATTTCCCAGACAATGCTGGCAGCTCCAAGCTGGGTGCCAGAGGGAGAATGTACATCCAGCATTGTATTTCTTACACCTCCTCTGCATGCATTGTCATTTTTAAGAAGCACCATGCTGAATACATAGGTGCTAACACACAGCCTTCTCAACCTGCTGCTAAGGGATTAATGACTGTAAAGGACAGTAAAACCTTCCAGGGACATGGGTTCAAACAGTGCAAGCCATGGGCAATACTGAAACACAGAATTAACTTTCTAGTCTCTCTGATCAAGATTTGTGCCTCAGTAACTTATTTCTATGTCACTTTGGTAGATGCAAGTCTGACCATAGATTCATAGAATCACAGAATATCCTGAATTGCAAGGGATCCACAAGGATCATTGAGTCCAACTCCTGGCCCTGCTCAGGACAGCCCCAAGATTCACACCATGTGCCTGGGAGCATTGTCCAAATACTTCCTGAGCTCTGTCAGGCTTGGGGCTGTGACCACTGCCCTGGGGAGCTGTTCTAGTGCCCAAACACCTCTGGGGAAAAAAACCTTTTCCTAATATCCAGCCTAAACCTCCCCTGACACAACTTTAGGCCATTCCCTCTGGTCCTGTCACTGGTCTCCAGAGAGAAGAGATCAGTGTTGCCCCTGCACTGCCCCTTGTGAGGAAGTTGTATAGAGGAATGAGTGTCCTCTTATCCAGGCTGAACAGACCAAGTGATCTCAGCCACTCCTTGTGCAGCTTTCCCTCAAGGCCCTTGACTGTCTCTGTGCCCTCCTTGGATGCTCTCTAGTAACTTTATATCTTATACTGTAATGCCTAAAGCTGCACTTAACACGTGAAGCCACACCAGCGCAGAGTAGATCAGGACAATCCCTTCCCTCACCCAGATGGCAATGCCTTGCCTGATGCACCCCAGGACACAGCTGACCCCTTGCCTTTGAGCCAAGGCTGGGTCCCACCTGTGGCTCTGGGGCTGAAGGTGCTGCCTGTCCTGCCAGGAGATGCAGAGCTACCTGCCATGGCAGTTTTTCCTTTGTGGATTGGGAGGAATAGGCAGTGTTGCAATCTTTCATTTTTCCTTGTGGCTGAGAAGCTTGGAACAAGGTCTGACTGGTGGCAGTTTTTGTACTTGGGGAGTTAACAAACCCAAAAGTTTAATTAGGCTGGTCAGTTCAGTCTAAATAACTTTCAGTGTTGACATGACAGCAGTGGGATGTGAGAGGTGGGAATCCAAATTCTGATTTAATGTTAGGTGTCAGGAGCTGAGTTTAGGCACCAAGGGCATCAACACCCCCTAAATTCCCACACCTAATAATTCCTGTTGGCCACCTCTGGTTAGCTGCCTGCTCAAAGGCCTTTGAAAAGCAGAGCTATTTTTGCTGACTTGGCACAGGAAGGTATGACAGCAGTGGGATGTGAGAGGTGGGAATCCAAATTCTGATTTAATGTTAGGTGTCAGGAGCTGAGTTTAGGCACCAAGGGCATCAACACCCCCTAAATTCCCACACCTAATAATTCCTGTTGGCCACCTCTGGTTAGCTGCCTGCTCAAAGGCCTTTGAAAAGCAGAGCTATTTTTGCTGACTTGGCACAGGAAGGTAGGTGAAATGTTGGCCACTTGAGTGGAGACTTGCTGCTGCTCAGATTTGAAAGGAGGCTGAGGCTCTGCTCAGCATGGTTGTGAGCTTCACATCTCAATGTGTAAGCCATGCAAAGGTTTGGAGAGGAAATTCTTGCCTCTGTTCTACCAATGCAAAGGCTGAAAATGTGCGTGTACCTCTAATGATGGTAAGTCCTTCTTTGTATCTTGACATGCCTGTCAGATACTGTCAGAGATCAGGGCTTGAGTGACTTGTCTGAGATGGCAGAGGAAGCAGGTCCTGGTCATGTCTTCTGTCATCATAACGTTAAGATACATCCTTCCCTCTTTTCACCTTATTTTCTCCTAAAATCATCAAAACTGCTACATGGTCTCTTTCTGAAGTAACTGATTACTTCTTTTCCCTCTCTTTTTCTCTATAGGATTCACTTCAAAGTGTGGAAACACCAGGCAAAGGTAAAGTGTTATTTTTAAAATATGTTAATTCAAGGTGTATCATCAGAAACCACATGTTCTGCTATTTGTTCGTATTACTGAACTGTTCGAGTTGGCATATTGTAGATGTTCACATATTTAGTCATATTATAAGGTAATTGTGACAAGTTAAAATTGAAGTGATCTAAAAGTATAAAGAAAACAGCATTTCCAAAAACTAATCTGGAGACTCAAATATGGAGAATGAATAGTAGAGTGGAACTCATTACAGTTAGTGCTGGTCATAGCAGTTCTTCACCCCAACTTTTAATGTGGTGAAAAGGGAAAGTAATTAACTACATGGAAGCCTAAAAAGTTATTTTCTGTATGACTTTTCTACTTGGCTTCAATAACTTTGATTCCTCCATCCTTAAGCTTTAGTTCATTGTGATTTTTTGTTGTATAAATAGTGTCTTGCCTTAATGATAGACTGTTAGGAGTAGGTTAATGAACAGTAATGGACAAAATCATAGACCCTGCTTTATTTAATTCCTCAGTTAAAATGAGCTTAGACTCAGGGGTTGATGCCCAGCACTGTTGGCATTACTGTGAAGCACCTTGCAGCAGCCTTTCAGACACAGAGGTGGTTCCAGTGCAGGTTTCCAAATGCCACGTTTGTTATTTCAGCATTGTTCAACTTTGTGGACAGCAAAAAAAGAAACAGCAATTACATTTGTAAGCTGCCAGGAAAAGCTAAGCAGCTGAAGGGTCAGGAGAGTGGGGGGAGAACATACAGGTGCAGAAGGTGGTAAATAGAGTTTGGAGGATTCTTCTCCCTTGGGTATAATCATTTATACCATGATTTTTTTTAACACTCTTATAGACAACTAGTTGTTGCTAATTAAAAGAATGAATAGATACTAATCTACCTTAGAAGCATCTTCCTCTGCACACTGTTCAGAAAACCTGACTGGGAAGGATTCTTTTATGTAAAGATATATCTCAATTTGGACTTCATTGAATCAACAGCTTCTTCAAGGAAAATCTGATTCACTGAACAACAGTAAAGGAATCAATTTGGACTCCCTGCTTCTCTGTACCTATTTATTTATGTCAGGAAACCTTCAGCTGTGAAGTGTGATGCTTCTCTGTTCTTGGCACACCCTAATTTCATAACAATTCCAGAATCCTTTAGGTAGTGTAATACTAGAATCTACAACTTACTGATTGCAAGTCAGAACTTGCCAGGCCATCAGTCATTCTGTGGTGAAGCCTAAATAAAAGTTGTCCAAGGTAACCACATTTCTAATTGCCCTCTTACATGCAGTGACATACATTTCACATGTTTTAACATACTCCATGCCTTATATGTCAGCACCTATTCAATAAACTTCTAAAAGCCAGGAGAATCTTTAAAGTTAGGCTAATGAGTGTTAAGAGAAAAGTCTCACTAGTAGATCAGTGCTGGTATTAAGGGCATGTCTGATAAAACACAAATGTAAGTACAATGACCAAAACTGATCTGCTGGAACCTAGGTCTGATCTATGAGAAGTGAGCAAAGCCATTCTACATCTTTTCCTTTGTCACAAGCTTTTCTTCGTCTCTGGCTTCTCAGTGCTCACATTCATGATAATGCCATGGGGCCTCTCATCTGTTGATCTAGGGGCACTGAGCCTGAGAGGAATACAGAAGAGATTTTCACCTGCTGAAGCTAGAAATAAACCCCAAATAGGTGCTGAGTTGTACATTTTTGCTGAAATCACATTTGTGTTTCCTTTTCCACCTCATTTGCTTCCCACCCTCTTTTTACTTCATTATGGTTAGCTGGCTAGAATTGCAGGCGTGCAAAAGTCTGCAAGCCTGTTAGCCAAAATAAAAGGAAAATCACAGCCTTTGCTCAGTGCTACTAAATCTTTCCAGATCTCTGGGAAGCTAAAAACCATGTGCTTTGCTCTCTTGAGCAGCACACTTGCAAATGAAGTCAGCATTGACAGCCAAGGAGGAGACAGACTGCCCTTCCCATTTGGACTCTGTTTTGTCTCTTGTATGTATTCATGTTTATCTTGAAGAAAACAGGTTCAAATTTGAACAGCAAGAGCAGCAATCAGTTACTCAAACTAATATCCTTTTCCTCTCCTCTTTGTTCCCCAAGGGATAGTTATTACCCAGAGCATCATAAGAGTTTTGTTTTTCTTTGTTATAGCTTCTCTCTCCCACAAAAGAGAAAAAGATAAAGGATACTATTAAAATGAAAGCCTTACTTAATAATTTGTTTAGAAACTGCTTTAATCTTACTCTTTTATAAAAGATTTTCTGAGGTTTGTTATTAGTCATTCACCATGCACTAAGCAAGTCAGAGACTATATTCAGAATATCTAGCCTTGATTTAGTGGTGCAATAACTGCCTCTGTGAACAGTGTTATCTCTGTAAAACAGTTTATTCCATTGCTGTGAATAAAGCACTACTTATCCATGTTATGCCTAAGTCTGGATCATGTTCTCTTTCCTCTGTATGCAGTCCTTAGAAGATTCTATTAATGTTTTTAGTACTCAAAGTATTTTTTTCTTCTTAAATGTGAGGAACTATAGGCATTTCTAGATGTTAGTACCTTTCTGCAGCATCGAGTGTTCACAGAAAATGAGGAATAAGATTATTCATGTTAAAAGAGATTTAGCATTGGGGTTTGCTGCAATCCAGAATATGAACAGATAGGATGCAGCTGGTTACAGACTGTGTTTGTGCATGTTTCTCAAAAGCTGATGAATGAATGTTTATTCAATGTCTACAGCTACTCCAGGCAGGGATTGCTCCAGATCAGACATAATAAGCAGCTTTCAGAATTTGATCAGTAGTTCTCTGGGACCCATCCAGAAAGTCTAGAACGCACCAGGAGCTGATGATATTGAGTCAACAGTCTTTGTCGACTAAACTGGGACCTCATAGCAACTTTCCAGTGTCTGAAGGGGCTACAGGGAAGATTCAGAGGGTCTCTGGTAGGAGCTGTAGTGGTGGGATAAGGAGTAATGGGGATAAACTGACAGAGGGGAAATTTAGGTTAGATATTAGGAAGAAGTTTTTCCTGTGAGGGTGGTGAGACACTGGCACAGGTTGCCCAGAGAAGTTGTGGCTGCCCCAGCCCTGGCAGTGTTCAAAGCCAGGTTTGAAAAAACCTTGAGCAACCTGCTCTGGTGGGAGGTGTCCCTGCCCAGGGCAGGGGTTGGGACTGGGTGATCGCTAAGGTCCATTCCAACCCCTTAACATGCTATGAAACTGATAATTGCTGGACTTGCCATCTTTTTGAGTGAATGCAGAAATCAGATACCTTGTGACAATACATTTAATGAAGTCATCATTACATTTAAGAATGTAAAGGTTCTCTGTGTTTGGGATTTGACAGTTGCTTCTAGATCTGATCATAAAAATATTCATCAGAGAAAGCTTTTTTAAAAAAGGAAGGGGAAAAATGAACGGGTTTTTTAAGTATTCCTATATAAATTTGAAAACTCCACTTCCTCCTTTTCTTAGCACAAAGTTATTATAGTCTTGTTTTGGAAAAACATTTCTTGTTTCGGAATATGGAAAATGTCAAGAGCTTTTTATTGATTGCATTTCATTTCCCTAAGTGTTTCCTGCATTGTTTCCAAATCAGAGCATGGCTCTTCACCTCTGAGTTGTTGCTGTATTAGATCCTGACGTGTTGTTCCTAAAGCCCAGGGGCTTTGTAATCAAGGCCAATTTTTAAACCATTGCAACTCCCCCGTTCTCCAAAAACATTAGGCAGAAGTTACCTTGTAAAGCATGTAGGAGCAGAGACGTTTTTGATACCAGGACAGCAGGAGATTTTTAAGCTTCTTTCCATGGATAATTGGTAGGGTTCTTCCACTAGTAGGAAGAAACAATATGCTAAATATCAGTGCTAGGAAACTGCATCTGATCAATATTTGCATTACAGCTTTCTCATGTTTTGCCTCTTTCATATTATAATAATGTTCTAATTAATGCTGCTTAGCCCTTTACCAAAATGTTAAGTGGGTTTTTTTTCTATTGAGTTTTTTTTGTGTGTGACCTAAACAGTATTCAGAATCCTGCGTTTTTTCCCCTCTCTGAAAATAAGAACAGCATCGAGCTCCTGTTCTCCAAAATATCTTTAATGTATCAAAAGGGTCTTAAGCCTTCATTCCAAATTCTGTTCAACCAGATATTTGTCATGTTTTACCCAGAGAAAACATGTACGGAGTCAAAGAGAGTGTTTAACATGCATTGACTTGACACACTCTGCTGTGCAGTAACAGCACAGTACCTGCTCTGTTGGAAGACCTGGCACTAAAATAATATGTGAATTGTAACACTGAACTGAGAAGAAGAAATAAGTGGCTTTCTGTAAGGCATAAGCTAGTATGTTCCTTACTAAATCTTGAAGGCACCTGCAAGTCTATTCATTAACAGTTTCAGGGATGGTGCAGATTGTTCTGTTTCTCACCAAGGGTGAAATTTCTTCCTTCAGGCTTGGCATACAAGGAACATGTCAGAAATAAGCATATCTGGCAGCTGTGGTTAAAGTTCACTTCCCTTGTTCTCATCTCATTTCTGCAAGTGTGATTTCTTCTCACCTTCAGTGAGAAGGTGATGCCAAATCGTGTCACACTAGAAATAAACGATGAGGTTTGAGTTGTGAGATTATTAATCCTGGTCATAGTTGGCTTTGCAGTGTGGTCTGTTCATTGTCTCTTACACACTGGCTATGCCTGGGACACCTTGCTAGAAAATAAGTTCTGATGTAACTGAAGCTGTGAATCTGCTGTAGGAATTCTAGAGCCTGTGCTATGTAAATCAGTGAAACACCAGAGTTCTTCCTCATCTGAGATTTATTAATCATAAAAGTCATAAAAAGCAGTAAAGTTCTTTGGCTTCATGGATGGGCAATATAATTTCAGCCTACCAAATCTTATTCAGCAGCTCATAAAAATCCAGGGAAAAGATGCTGACCAAGTTTTGTGAGTAATGAACATTCACAGACTACCCAAGATGTTTGTCTCTAATTTAGTTAATTGCTACTGGTCTTAATGAGTGAAGGATGGAGGGTTGAAAAAGGGCTGACCCTGGCACAGAAACCATAGAGTGTTTTAAACCAGAGCTAACATGAGTAGGAAAATGAATGTTGAAAAAAATCCTGGAGCTGCAGAGGATGTTTGCTTATGCCTGGGGAACTCTGTTCCTGAGATTATCATCAGTCTGTATCTCCTAATAATTAGATAAGTAATGCTGAAGTTGGTTTGTGTCCTTGGCTGGCAGCTGAACCAATTGTCCCCGTTTGCTCCATTCCTGTCTTCACCCCCCATGCCATTATAGCAAAAGAGACAGCCTGTAGTGCCCACCTCAGGCCCTGTTTCCAGGCTGGCTCATCTCTGCAGTCAGGCACAGACCCTGCAACCCACAAGAGAACGGTGGAAATTTGGGAGAGATAGAAAGAGGAAAAAGAACAAGGTGAGAGTATGTTCTGGATCATGTAGAAACCCATGAGTTGGAGGGGTAAAAAAAAAAGGAGAGTTTGGAGTACTCCTCTTGGAAGACAAATCATTCTGATCTTGGAATGATACAAATACTATGATAGTTCCTCTCTCAGCCTATCCCTTGCCTGAGAAATGAGTGCTCCTAACAGCTCTCTTCACTCAATGGATGCTGCCAGGACTGGGAATTTTAATTTCTACTGGCAATCAGGCAATCCCAAGCTGCTCCAAAAGCAGAGAGAGGGAAGATGGATGAAAGCCAGTAACAGCAGAACAAAGCACTGCAGAGCTGAAGCCAGATGAAATAACATAGCAGAGGTGTGATATAAAGGTGCAGCCTGCATTTCATATCTATTCATGTAGGGATGTATTTCAGTGTCCATCGTTGTGTAATGTTGTCACCAAACCATGGCCACCTGAATGCTGAGTGTGTCTGTGGCTGCTATTGTATGTGTTTTATGCATTGTTTACCTACAGTTGCAACAGCTTTATAGCCTTAAAATTTAACCAGTGTCTTTTCTTCATTCTATGCTGCATTGCCAGTTCCCTTGAAGTAAGTAGCTACAAAATACCTACTTAATAAAAGTCTTTCCAGCACAAAAATTCACAGACTAAAATGACATACCTGAGGCACACACTAACTTGCTGCAGTTGAAAATGCTTACTTTGAAAATGCCTTAATTTGAAAGCACTTTTTGCAGGAATGAGCTAAGGCTGGTTTCAGGAGCACAGATGGCTAATTGGCTTCAGTTGGTAGGTTATGTCATTTTAATTAAATTTTATTAGGAAGCATTTCAAAGCTGTAACTGATGGTTTAAGATAAATATGGTTCTTCCTAAATGACCTATTGCTAACCTTTATTTATTTCTCTCTCCTCTTGGTGTTAATAGAGGCTGCTGTGACTGAGCTCTCCATGGCCATCTCTCGTCTCATCCATGTTTACTGCAGCAGCTTTGATGCAAATTTCCAGCTTGCCAGCACACCTAAAAGCCCTTCATGTGCTGCAGACACCAGCCTAGATTCCCAGCTCAGCTTCACTGTTTATGCTGCCCATAACATCCCAGAAGCCTGGGTGAACAGGTCGGTCCAACAAGTGTTCCCAAGATGTGTTGTCACTTTGATCACCTCTTTCTCACAGATACTACCTCACCCCTGTTGCTTTGGTGATACTTCTGTATGAATGTTAGAAACTGAGTGAGTGTGTGTCAGTGTGGTGTCAAATCCATCCCAAGTTCACTTTTGTGGATTGACCTTTTGTCAATTTTTATATCTGTGCTCCCAATTTCAACATTATTCTGCAACATGTGAGGTCTGTACCTATCTCTAACAAGATTTCTGTGCTTCTGTCCTCATTAAAAATCTAGGTACACACATTACAAGTTGCAGAATAATGTTGCAAAACTGGTAATCTTTATTTTCATTCCTTCTCGTTTCTTTTATCAGTTTGATGGTTTATTTCATTTCAGTTCCAAGAAGATGTGCCTTGTTTGCTGCCAGTGGCAGAATGTTGCTATCTTCATATTTCACTGCATTTGTTTCTACAGCCCAAACCAGTCAGATTCCTGTCTACATCTGGATGCTATGAAGTGATCCTTGGGACAAGGCTATAGTCATGTCTTTGAACTCCCAGGGAGGCTGCATAGGGAAAATGTTCTACAAAGACATAAAATGGGTTGAAGTGCATGCACTCAGAGCAATCTTTCTGACTGCAGTCAGAAGGAACATGGTGTAAGCATTAAATCTTCCCAGGATTAGGTCTTTCTGATGTATAAATCAGGAATATGTCTATGTATTATGTATCAGTACTTCTGTTTAAACAGCAATACTTAATCATTTGATTGCATTAATACCTATTATTCCCTGAACTGTCTTCCAGCTGTTTGTAATGTTTAGAGGCTAGGGGAAGAATTTCCCAGGCTTACAAGTATCTTTCCTTCTCTCTATCCTTACCTCATAAGAACTACAGATTACAGATCATTTTCTTTGAATTAAAAAAAGTAAAAAATGAAAAGAGAGAGAAAAAAAATAAAAAGCACATCTGCTACAATAATTATAAGAATTATTACAATGTTCTGGAAGAGATCAACCATCATTCTTATAAATATGGCAAAGTCAGGCACCTTCAGTCAGCAACTGCTTCAAATTTCCTGTTCACATTTGACTCTGTTTCCCATGTTCATCATTCTTGTACAGAATGATGTCTAAAGCTGAGACTGGCAGGAAGATCTGGAAGTAACAAGACTAATTAAGAACATTAGTTATTTATACTCTATTCCTTTATTTTGACTAATATTCTAAAAGATTTCAGTAAGAAGGATATGAAAGAACAGATAGCCCCAGACCCCAATAGCTATGTGAAAAATGCCAACACAGAGGCCTTTAATGCTTCTGCTGTAATGAATGTAGAGATTTCTTTGAATACAAACCTGTTCTTTACAGATTGGGAAAAGTAAGTATAAATAGAATTGTAGAATGGGCTGGGTTGGAAGGCACCTTAAAGATGCCTTGTTCCAACCCCCTGCTATGGGCAGGGCTGTGTTCCACTAGACCAGGTTGCTCAGAGCCCCATCCAACCTGGTCTTGCATACTTCTAGTGATAGGGCAGTCACAGCTGCTCCGGGCAACCTGTGCCAATTCCTCACCACCCTCACAGGGAGGAATCCTCCCAGTATCTAATTTAAACCTGTCCTTCAGTTTAAAGCCAGTCCCCCTTTCCTGTCACCACACACTCTTGTAAAACATCCCTCTCGAGCTGTCTTGGAACCCCTTTAGGTACTGGAAAGTGCTCTAATGTCCCTTTCTTCAGGGCTGAACACCCCCAACTCTCTCAACCTGTCTTCATAGAAGAGGTGCTCCAGCCTTGTGGGCATCTTCATGGCTTTCTCTGAGCTTGCTCCAGTAGTTTCATGTCCTTCTTATGTTGGGCCCCCAGAGCTGGATGCAGTTCTTCAGGTGGGAGGTTTGCTGTTGACTGTATGATGAGCAAATAGCAACACTTCAAAACTTAGGTCCAAAGTTTCCTTCACTGCAATAATGAAAAAGAAAGTTAGTCTTACTGACAAAAACATGGATCAGGACCGATGTGTCTTAAGGGATTTTCTTGAACTCCAAACATTAAAGAAACAAACAGTCCAAAATGAACACCCCTCCTCACACACATGAATATGAGAGTCATTATTTTAATTCTTTTTTTTTCATGTACGGATGGATCTTCACAAGTTTCTGAATGGTTAACTCCAGATTTACTGTGCTGGATGTGGTGCATAACAATTAATCTCTTTTTTTGTTGCTTTTTTTTCCCCCCTTGCAGCTACAAAGCTTTGTCTTTTTCCTGTTTACTAACTTATGCTGGGAAGACAATATGCCAAGTGAAGATTTGCAAAAATATTCCTGTTAAAAGATCCTTCTTTTTCCTGGCTGACTGGAATGAGAAGTAAGTTTTGGTCTGTGTTTGGTATATGTTTATTTGACACGTATTGCACATCAAATATTCATTTAAAAAACCAACAGCTACAAAGCTTTGTCTTTTTCCTGTTTACTAACTTATGCTGGGAAGACAATATGCCAAGTGAAGATTTGCAAAAATATTCCTGTTAAAAGATCCTTCTTTTTCCTGGCTGACTGGAATGAGAAGTAAGTTTTGGTCTGTGTTTGGTATATGTTTATTTGACACGTATTGCACATCAAATATTCATTTAAAAAACCAAAACACAGCTGTGGCTGGGCTGCCCCATCCCTGGAAGTGTTCCCAGCCAACCTGGGCTAGTGGGAGGTGTTCCTGCCCATGGCAGGAGGTGGAACAAGATGGTCTTTAAGATCCTTTCCAATCCAAACCATTCTAGATTCTATGTTCTTTTCTGTATGAAATATGCACAGTGAAGGATATATTTGTTGTTTTGAATTTATTCTAAATATGAATACTTGTCACAGTTCTATAATTGGGCAATGTGTTTTTTTGCTATTTGTGCTACTACCCCTCCAAGAAAGAATAAACAAACAGCTCCAAAGTTGACAGAATAACCAGTATATTCAGAAGATTTTGAAATAGAAGGAACAGTAGAGGTGGTGCCATATTAGCACTGAGGGTATAATTTAAAACATAGAATCATAGAATCAACCAGGTTAGAAGAGACCTCCAAGATCATCAAGTCCAACCCTACCATGGTTACTAGCCCATGGCACTAAGTGCCACATCCAGTCTCATCTTGAAAACCTCCAGGGATGGTGAATCCACCACCTCCCTGGGCAGCACATTCCAATGCCTGATCACTCTCTCTGTAAAAAAATCTCTTCATATTCAGGAACAGGCTGGGTTGGGTTTTTTTCTTACAAGAAATAGATGTAGAGAAACACTAGTTAATAGTTTTAGCAAGAATTCAAGCTGGAATTGGTTTAAAAAGTAGAGTATTAGTGCAATTGTTTTTCCATGCCATCGAGTGGCACCATTTCCTACAGTAGGGAGTCTGGGTCACTCAAACCTGTAACCAAGCTGTGTTCACTCTTAGTTATCTTTTAGGCTGTAATATCACCTTTCTGAAACGGAGGGGACTGTGTTTGCATAAAATGTTTACAGAGGAGACAATACCTTTATTGTAAAGTTTCTTGCTGCTTTCATTCTAAGCCATATACCATTTTTAGCTGATCACACCCATTGAAAACACAAGTGGTAAAAGATGACCAGGAAGAGCTTCTGTTACATTGGGAGGTCAGATATTCTCTCTATAGTTAGGGATCAGTCAGGCCAAAAAATAAACTAATTCAAAATGAATCCTGAGCTGAAATTGGATTGATTTGAACATGGTGTAAAAAAGGAGAGTAGTGTTTTGGTGATTAGGAATCTAGGCAGAGAGTTTCTACCAAAGACAAGGCTTGCTTTATTTGCTAATTTTCATGTTTTTAGTTTCTGGTTTCAAGTGCTTTAACCAGTTAGTGCTTGAATTTTAACTTGATTGGTTTTCATGTATAAATATGACCTTCTGTTGAAGTCTGTTACCATCTTTAGTCTTTCCCAGAATGTTCTCAGAAACAATGAGAATCATTTGATACCTAAGCAGTTGCCTTGTTTAGTATTTCTTCTGTTTGTCCTTATTTAAGGGTATACTTTTGCTTTGGAACTTGTGTATTGCCTTTGAAAAGTGTTATTGTCTCCTTGGTGCAGAGTTTGAACAGGCTGATACCATTTAGCACATAGTGTGTAAAGTCCAAAAGTTGCCCTTATTTTCTCCTCAGTTTCATATTTTCAGTGCCTGAGACCTCTTAAATATGTTCTTTCTTTTGTCTTAATTGTTTGCTCTTAATATATTTATTCCACTGTCTCCTCTTTTTCCATCCTCTGTAATTCTTGTTAAGCCTACAGACATGAAGTATGGAATTAGCATTAAGTCTGTCATTCATCACCTCAGATCCTTTCTTGGCACTGGGCTTCCCTCTTCCTCATATTTTATTTGGCTTCTCTGATTTGTTTCCACTCTCTGGAGGCACAGCTTGGGTTGCCCCAGAGCTCTTGTGTGTTGAGGCTTTGTTGATGTTAGGCCCTTGGCCTTTGAAACAAGCTGTATTATCTAGTATCTGTGAATAGCACCTTTTCAGGGAGCAGCTTCTTTGTTCTCGACTACTGGTGAAATTGTGCACCCACAGTTCCAGTGTTCCTTTCCACCTCCTTCTTCTTATTCATCCATTTGACTCAGCCTCATAGAGTCAGAAAGGATAAGACCAACTGGGTAAGCTTAGATGTGCATTAATGAAAGTTGCATAGTTTCTTAGTATGTTAAGAGGTTGGAATGGACCTTAGAGATCATCTAGTCCCAACCCCCTGCCCTGGGCAGGGACACCTCACTTTCTGAGTGAGGAGTTACTCAGGAATTACTGTTACTTTCTGAGGGAGTGTTTTCACCGGTTCAAGTTCACAGGGAGTGTTAACAATCGCCTGTATCAGAAAATGAATGTCTTGACTCTTTATTTTTGTCTCTTCTTAGCATTAATGATGCTTTAAAGTTAAGTGCAACTTTGTCAAACAGTTTTATGTAAGAAGGGCACAGTTGTTGGCCTGTCAGTGAAAAAGACAGGACAAACTATCTATAGCATGCAAAGCAGTTCAGTTTCCCAATAAGTGTTTCTGATTATGAGTAAGGAAGAGGGCATGAGAAAGGGAAAGCAAACTTGAAAGCTATAAATAGGGACACGTGGGAAGGCAGTTGAGAATTGCATCTCAATTCTCTTCATGGTAATCAGAAAGAGTGGGGAATGGCTGCCTTGCTTTGTGATTCCAAGAGAGAGGGATGCAAATTTGCAGCATTTCCTAATGTTTAGGGCTGATCATCTGAAATTTTGACACTAATGCTAATTTGGAGTAGTTCAGAATTTCAGCTGAAAAACATCTACTTTCTTTCAGTGGCTTCTGAGTGCATTCAAGGAAACTTTCTCAAATTCAGTAGATATTTGACAGATTTTGGAACTAGGAGCAAAACCTTATGTTAATTTTACCTTGTACTATTAACATGTCTTATTTCTGGTACCCATAATTACATTTTTCAGGCTACTATACTTTTAAAATACAGTTTCTCTTTCTGCTTGCTGTTCAAGTATGACTATACCTTTTCCAAAATGCTGAGTTGCCTTCCTCTGCCAGTCTGTGTTATTTAAATTTATCTTCTGGTTTGTTTTCTTAATCTCAAGATTATGCAGATCTTTTGTTTTCTTAATGATTATGTTGTCAATGTGCTATAATTCTTTTAGCCTCCAGCTCCTTATATTGATTTTGTTTATACAGAAAAAATGTAATTAATTTTGCTCTCCACTTGAGAAATTTAAGCCTGCACTGAATATACATGCAAAAAGCTAGAAATGCACTTTGCACCATAAACTGTCTCTTCAGGAAGAAAGAAAATACAAACTTGCATGTGTCTTGGTAATTACACAAGTGATTTTTCCACACAGCGTGGAAGTATTTCTAAGTTATGATTTTAAATTGATTTTTTTTAACTGTATAAAGAAATTGAGTAGCCAAGCAAGTCTGGTAATGGTCAATACAAAGTTGGGATGAATATTGATAAAACTGAATTTTCTCGTTAAAAAATGTGAATTGTTCGTTGCTGTTAAGACAAAATCTGCCTTTATATTGTGGTTGGGAAGTATCAGACCACCAAAGCTCTCCTGTCAACAGAGTGATTATCATACTCAACACAGAAGCAACTCTTAGTGTTTTAGGCAGTGTTTTCCTCTGAAGACACAAGGCACCAAATAACAATCCGTTTCCAATTTACCCTTGGGGGGGGATATTTAGTGTGAAACAGCTTTTCCTTGCTAAGGTAACTCTAAAGCAAAGTTTAACTAAACTTTTCCTGCCTTTGTCAGCCCTAGTGATTATCACTGAAGTGAGTGAGTTTTTATCTGCCTCTTCTCAAATACTGTGACTCAAGTTAATGGGTGACAATAATCATCCATGTCTTGAAGAGATCTGTCAGTTGTGTTTTCCTTCAGAGGGCAACAATTGTAATTTATAGCTTGATATATATGTCAGAAATGTAGAAAGAAATCACTTGTGGTAACAATGCTCAAGTTTTTTTAACTTTCATTTTACTTTGATTTTCTTTTAGAATCAACTTTCCTCTACGAATAAAGGCTCTTCCCAGGGAAACCATGCTGACAATAAAACTACTGGGTGTAAACAGTGCCTCTAAAAATACACAAGTGCTTGCTTGGACATGCTCCCCACTGTATCCCAAAGAGTAAGTTCAGTTTTGTATGACAGCTTAAGAAAAGGCCACTCTTGAATAGTACTGCACTCAACTTGGGAGAAATATCAAAAGACAGAAATACTCATTTCAGGATGTTGCTGTAATAAGAACAGGACAGCCACTTACAGCAAAAGGAAAGAGCTCCATCCATAAGCTTTTCTGTCCTTCCCATACATTGTTTTTGAGCTTGGCTGAGATAACTGTTATGATAAAGTTCCCTAGGCCTGTTGCACCTTACTGTACCCTTTCCTGTAGCTTTACAAAATCCTTCTTAGCATAGCCTCTTGTTCACAATGGTTGGTTTTGGTTTGTTTCTGTTCTCACACCAATTCATGCTGCTTAAATTGGGACAGTTAGTGATGGGCCACAATGAGCACCTTTCCCTCTTCACACCACTTTAGAAGCTTTCTCTCCTTCAGCCTCTTCTTTCCACACTGTGCACAATGTAACGATGGTTTAAAGGTGCTTTGAATGTCTCTGCAGTGCTGTATAAACAGAGATCTGAGGGAAATTTTCTGCAGTGCTCTGAATATATTTTAGTAGCACTGAGACATCTGAATTTAGATCAAGTCTTTACAATGATACTAAAGTTTTATTTAGACCCCATAGCCCTGCACACCCTTTGTGCAATAGGAGGATACATTCAAGCCCCCAAGTTTCTGCATTAACATCTATCTCTAAGAAATAGCTGTTTCCTTATCTTGAGACATTTTCATCTACTACTTTATATGGTGGCAATCACCCTTTAAAACAAAATGTTAAAAAAGTCTGATTGCATGTATGAATTTGCTTGAAATACCTTGTGTTTCACTGAACTTTTAAGCTGAGAGACTTAGAAGTTAGGTTGGACTGGGCTAGAGGCTTTTTCCATCTATTCAGAGGAAACTCAAGGTTACTCTGCTTTTTTGTGACTTAGTGGTTAGAGAACTTAGCTTGAGGGAAGGAAAGAAACATGAATCAAATCCCTGCTCCAAGGATTTCTTGGGCAATTAATTCAATTACTTTTCTTTCCTAGTTAGTCTTAAGAAGAGCACATCACTCACTCTTCCTTTGTGGGTGTCTTTTTAAGCAAAACATATAATAAGTTTATTTGAGGTATTTCCTACCATCCTGTTTTGTAGGGTGGAATAGTGAAGGAATATCTTGGGTGAGAATCTAACTTCAGATGAAGTGGTAAGAAGTCCTCATCCCCAGCAAGCTGATATGTTCTGAGTGCATTCATTCAGAAGCAGAGCATTAGGCATGATAATAGGGCAGCACTTAGGCATTTTGGGAGGTAAAGGGTATGTGAGAATCCTGTGCTTGAGGATCTGTTGTTCTAGAGGTTTTCTTGTTTTTCAGTCCAAAAGGAATGATTTGTGGGAGGTCTGCCAGGCCTCAGCTCCCTGTGATTTTTAAATGCCTGCCATCAGAGCAAGCATGTTGATTTTCATTAGGAGATCTCCAAATCACCCAATTTCAAAAATTTTTCTGCAAAATGGCTCTGTTCTTTCCTGGTCCACACAATCAGCACAATGAAGGGGATAGAGGGCTACTTTCCTTTCATTTGCTGTGTAATTGTAGAGATCATTGCTAAAATGACCCTTCAGAGCAGAAATAAAGGTTGAGTTGTTGGGGAAGAATAATTTAGGAATAGCATGTTCAACACCCTCTAATCTGATAGCTGTGTCATTTACAATTATAGTAATTACTAACACAAAGAAGCATAAATGCTTTTTCCTCTTTTAGCCAACCACAGCTCCACAGAATTATTCATTCACCATGATTTCAGTTGATAGACTGACTGCTTTAAAAATAAGAATTGC